CGGTGAATACTGCAATAAATGAGAAACGCGTACTCATTAATGAGTGTACATAACATTAAGCATCCACGTTATCAATATAAGTTTTTTTAGAAGAAATGAAGTCCGTCAATTTTAAACAACGAAACATTCAGATGCCACACGAATATTGTTTGTATAATTACACTTTTATGATTCTTAAATAGCTGAATACAATGCTAAGTTCTTTACGGACCATGAAATGCGCCCCATTGCGCGCGCGCGTGTGTGTGTGTGAGAGAGAGAGAGAGAGAGAGAGAGAGTGAGAGAGGGTGAGAAAGATATATTTCTACGTTCAAATCCATGGGATCTTATCTTACGACGTCAACTGAGCTTACCCCTTGGAGTGTAACTGAAATTATGATGTCACCGATTTAAATGAAGTTTCCTAACTTTCAACACTCGTATTCGTCGCTAACGTTGATCCGTTTCACGAATTACGAGACATTATAATCCTCGACTTTCTGTTTCGTGATCACTGATGCTGAGGGAGCGCAGCAGATTTGTGTGGAAAGGTGTGTAGCTTTAATGTGGTCGGGTCGACCGTAGCAGTACTGGTCTCGAAATTTTCCGCCGGTTAGATACTCCTCGCGGAAGCCAATTTATTAGCGAAAAGTTACGTTGACGAATGCGTAGTACTGTTAGCGGTGAACCGCGAGCGCGTGATATGATGACGGAATGTGTTCCGCGGGTCTGTAACACCTAATGCATCCGCGTCATCGTGACATTCGTGTACAGAACGTAATATCACAACTCACGTCTCCGAGAGCAGTGGCGCGAAGAAAACAAGCATTGAAAGCATATTATTATCGTTGCGAGACGTGTGAAGACTAGGAACACCATCCGGGTTTTCTGCATAGCTCCACCGATACCGCGGCGGTGCTATGTGTTTATTTGTCACGTCATCCGTCTACTTCATAAACCGTGTGCCTTTCTGATACGGAGAGGGAGGGGCTACCTCGAAAACGCGTGTAAACAATTATTTCAATCGAAAAACAGAAAAAAAAACGAAACAAAACGTATCAAACATGGTACTATTAACGCGGCGACTTTTCCAACATCGTAAACTACATGAAATCGCTTTCGTACAAGTTTCGAGAGTTTTTGACCGGATCATAAAGAGCACAACATTACCATCTTTCAGAGGAACCCTAACGCTTTCGATTCCAGTGAACGTGTCGGCCACAGGAAAATAATTTTTGATATTTATCCTTCATATTTTCTCACAATAAAAATATATACGCATCAGAATAAAAATAAAACAATAAAAATCGTGTCGTATTTTAGCGTATTTCTGTACATCGTTTCACACAGTTTCTATAAATAATTTCGCTTTACAAACACTAGGACATCGTGGTCACCGTCGGTTACTTTTGTTAAATCGCTACGTTGCCTTCGATGAATTATCGAGCAAATCGAATGCCTAAAGATGTATGGCACGTCGAGAATTAAATATTTAAAAGTGTTGAATGTTACAACAAACATGAATCTACTCTCGGGAACGCTTGGCTTACACCTTTAACCAACCCCGTCTGTAAGCGTTCACAATTTATTATGCTGACCTTCTTCGGGATTTAAAGTGCACGTAAATCATTTAAAGTGTTCGGAACAGCTGACCACCGTAAAATATGATCTATATTTTCAGTGCGCGACTGAAAAAAATAGAAAAGAAAATTGTTCAACATTAAGACTTAAAAATTATTTTGTATCAAAATTATTTATTCATTGATATTACTCGAACGATAGTGCAGAAAATTGGTATGCATATTACAATAAGGTTTTGTTACAAGACTATGAACGTGGTATTAGTATGAATGGGTATTGGTATGAATGCGCATTGGAAATATCAGACCACTTGTTATTTGAACACCACACTAGCACATTCAAATATCACGAGAAATGTTAACTGTTTATTCCGATTGTCTTCTTGAACAAATATATCAAATGCATTGTTAAAACTATTCGACCTGATAATATTTCACAATAATTACTAAAAACTTGTTAAATGCACAATGCATTGGAAGGAAAAATCATCATACATTATATATATAATTATACTTGGACATTATACTTTGGAATATTAACATATTTACAGTTTGTTCATGATTCAATGTGCACCACTTTTTATGTTGTGACCTACTGAAATTTAGTTTTTTAATACATTATTATTTTAATCTCGTAATACAAAAATGATATATTAAATTTAAAAGAACCAATTTCAAAGTTTACTTTATTGAATGGTTGACTTGATTATTATCTGATAAGATACAATAATGAAAAATATTCACCCCATTTGCGCTTATGATATAGGCTCTTATTGGATCAATGTGACCCTAATAAATTTATCCTGGTAAAGAAAAAGTACCTATCAGGCCAACCGTATATCAGTAAACTGGTGAACTTATTTCTTATAACCAAATAAATTACTTTTTAGTGAATCAATCGTATAAAAGTGCAATCGAAAGAAAATAAAGATTATTCATTTTGGATTACGACAATTTTCATAATACACATTCTACTGTTACTATTACACAGACCGATAGATCATTGTTTGCGATCATCATACTTGTAAGGCTATTGCACTGTAATTTTAACTTACAGAAAGTCTTCTAGATGCATTTTTTATATTGTTTGTTAAAAATTTGAACTCCTTTGCATCCGGAAAATCAAAAATTCAAGTATCCACATCCACATCCAAATCCATTTTTTTTTTTTTTTTTTTTTAATATCGTTCATTATCGATTTTAGTATGTGAAAGAGCATAACAGCTGTAGAAAATAATTATTGTGTTCGACTTCAATGGTATTCTATTTTCTACTGTAATGCAAGAATATTATTTTTTATGCAGAGAAATTGACGTAAGCTAATGTAAATTTTCTATATTCTGAAAATCGTCGGAATTCGTTAAATTTACTAATGTCATTCGAGTACTTATGTGTATGTATAAAAGTTATAATTGACGATATCATGCGGTGCAAATGTTTTTAAAAGGTAATTATGTAACTATCTAATTCTTGTCATGGCGTTCCATAACTCGCGATTTAGGGGAGAGTTAGAGTATGGAATATATAAGGATAATATTCTAATCTTCTCGCCACCACGGCTTCGATAAAACATTTTTAGGACGAAATCGTTTTCGAATAGGAATACCAGCGTTGTATCCTGTTCGAGGGGAGGTTAGGCATGAGGGAGGTGGATTACTGCACAAATGTCGTGTTGAAAATATTGAAAGTTTTCTAGGGCGATCTTAGCCCCGACATCTTTTCGATAACATATTTTCATCGTCGCGCTATTGTTTTCCGTTACACACCTGTGCTACATCCTCGACGGATGCGGCAATCAGTCATCATTAACTTTTCGCCCAAACGGCAGAAAAAGATTATGAATAAAAGTTTCTTATTTGTTTTTCTTTTGGCCGCAGTGCAATCAAAATATAATTAATTGCATCGTTGTTTAGTGACACGGGACAACCGGAAAGAAAATTGGTAACCGTAACGCTTCTACACCGACTGGCCGGAAAGTAGACGAAAAAGACCTAGGCCATTTGGTCTCTTCGAAGGCAATAGAACAGTTTTCTTCCGCACACCCATTCCGTCCTTGTTCCACGGAATTTATACGGGTATAAAATATCGGTACGTTTGGACGAAAAAATCATTATCATCACTTGCGTGATACAGCCACTGTCCCCAGATATTTTTAATCGAATGATCACCGAAATATTGAATGATAATAATTGCTTTAGACTCCAGTCTTTGCTCGATTCTGGGACGTAATTTAATTTAATTTTATTTTATTTAATTTAATCGTAGTCACACGTAAGTAAATTATTTTTTGGCTCGAGTAATGCGATTTATTATATTCATTATTTCTATACACGTTTCATATTAATTTATTATTATTATTTTTTATTTATTTTTTTTTTTTTTTTTTTGTTTCGCTTGTAACAGCAATATCTTTTAAATCACTAATTTCAATTTAATAATAATTATAAGAATGAAATTATATGAATTTCTTTCTTCTTTGATCTCACTACAAGTATTCAGATTATATGAAAAATTATTAAAATTATTTCTTTTTTTCAATAACAAGATAAACTATTATCAATTTATAATGTAGTTATATTAATTTAATTAACACAAGTTTACGGTTTAAAATCTAGTCCCATATTTTTTGAACATGATATTTGTAATAGAAGGTTTCAAGTTGTTATCTTTTAAACGATCAACCGTGGTCTCGCCGTCCATCGAAGTGGTCGACAGGCAATCACGCGATAAATAAAATAATACGTAACAAACTTTACTCGGCTAAGATAATATCTTTCGAGCGATTGTTATCGTAATAATTAATTACCTCTCAATCCGATTGTTATTGTCGGCAATGCTTACGTCGTCACTTAATATTCACGCTACAGCTGTATTATTATACAACTTTATTGCGGGCCCCGCCTTCGCGTGTTCGCTGTCAACGTAAACACAGGCGTGTGTTATAATATCAGTTGATGCGTTTCTCATCAATAATTTCGTTGCTGAGGCTTACCATCGACGTGCATTGTTATCGGTGAGTCGTCGTAGCTTTCATCGTCGTCGTGCTCACGTTATATCTGTCCGCCGGCAGTTTCCGTCTGGAAATGGATGCCGACGTCAAAGGGACGTGTGTTACACATTATTATTATTAATATAGTCGTTCTTATTATTGCTATCATAAACGTTCTTTTTGCTGTTGACCGCTCTACTGGTTATTGCGTACACGGCTACGTACTATGATTTGTAACCACCTTGTTGTCGCAGTACGATAACGCCATTTGTATTTATATATGTACTAGCAGACCCGGCGAACTCCGTTTCGCCACCAGATTCGTTTTATGTAACATTTCGTTTGGTGATTAAAAGATAAAGAAAAAAAATTTTTTTTGTTATATATTTGAAAAGGAAAATATTTATTTCATTTCACAACAGTAATAAATTCATTTCAATTACCTACTAAAATGAAGTGTTATTTAATTGTTTCATTGTAGTGCTCTTTGGTAAACCACATTTTTTGTTTTTTGGTCTGACGTTAACACAAACAAAGCGGATGGTTTCCCAACTCGTGAACACGCAACGTATAACTGTCCATGTGAAAAACAATGATTTTCCAAATTTATCCCGCAAACACTAAGCGATTGGCCTTGCGACTTATTAATTGTCATTGCGAACGCAAGGCGAACTGGGAATTGCAATCGTTTGAAGTCAAACGGAAGATCAGTCGGAATCATTGGTATTCGAGGAATACATACATTTTCACCTGCGTACTTTCCGTTAATAATGGTTGCCTCAATTAAATTCGGCATAAGTCTCTTTACCGAAAGTCGAGTACCGTTGCAAAGTCGCGGTGGATTCAAATTACGCAGTATCAAAATAACTGTACCAACTTTCAGTTGCAAGTTATGTGGTGGAAATCCTGGTATCTCCAGAGAGTTCAAAAACTCCGTTGGATAATTTACTACATCATCGGGATTTGTTATTGAATCAACGGATTTGTATGTCACCAAATCGCCAGCAATTTTTGATTGAATGGTGAAATTCAGTGCGTGGACATCATTATTCTTTGCTGCAAGAATTGCTCGTTGACTTAACCAAGCATAATTCTTATAATTCTCACTAATGTTTGGGAAAACATTTTCAATAAGAACTAATTGAGTGTCTACAAATCGGCAAAAGTCGTTGGTAAGAGTAATTAATCCAGATGTCGCATCAACTGGGACTTTTCCATTTCCAAGATCTAACAATTGTTTGGAAAATTGTGCAGCACTTTGATCATTTTGAAGTTGAACTCTCATATTAGTGGTTAGCGATAATGTTTTTACGTTATTCCATAAAGGTGATGCCTTTAGGCAAGCATTCAATTCATCTGCAGGCGTTCCACGGGGAACTACTGGCAACGTCTGCCTGAAATCGGCTGCCAACAATATCATCAAGCCGCCAAAGATGTTGTTATTTCTCTGAAGATCCTTCAGTGTGAAGTTAAGTGCTTCAAGTGATTTATTATGTGCCATTGTGCACTCATCCCAAACAATGAGCTTGCATTGCATTAACAATTTTCCCATTGCACTGGATCGGGAAATATTGCACGTTGGAGTATCAATTGTGTTTAAATTGAGTGGCAACTTAAGCGCAGAATGTGCAGTACGACCGCCATCTAGAAGAGTCGCCGCAATTCCAGATGATGCTAACGCCAAAGCTATGTCACATCTTGATCGAATAGTGGCCAAAATCAATGAAATGACAAATGTTTTCCCTGTTCCTCCAGGTGCATCCAGGAAGAATAGACCACCAGTATTATTGTCCACCGCTTGCATTAATGTTTTGTATACTTGTTTTTGCTGTTCATTCAGCAACGGAACATTATTTCTAACGAATTCCTGCAATGTATCAACATTGTATTGCAGCTCTCGATTTAATTCTTGGTTGAATGCATCGTGCATCGATCGATTTGGCGCAATCATTCCTACTTCAATCAGTAGCTTGTTTGCAATAGTCAAGCATTGATCCTCAATCAGAATCAATCCTTCATTGTAGATTTCATCGGTTATTTGGATGTCAGGATTATTCGTTTGAATACGCAAGCGATGCAAGATATCTTCACATATGGCGTCTTTGTATTTGTTCCATAACTGAATTGGTTGTGAAGGAAAACATGTGGTGATGATAATTGCGAACAGCGTTCGTATTTGGTACGCATTTGATGAAACAACTGAATCTGCAAGTGTTAAATCCCAATGAGAATCGTTCTCCAGCAAACCCAATAGTTGACATGCTTCTCGATATGTTTGGCATTGGTGGCCATTCACAGTTTTCAAATGCGCAAATGATTTCGGTCCACGTACATTTACTAACAGCAGTCGCAAATAAAAACATTCATCGTTTCTAGGATGAACAGTGTACATACGACCTAGTGCATCAGTTGAAAACACCTGTGGCCAGTCTGGAACTGGGGTTCCTTGTTTGCGACGTTGGAATTTCTTTGTTGATTGATTCCAAGTGTAATACTTGGGCATTTCAACGTACATCAGCGTCGCTGCGAATGGATCTGCTTCACACATTGCAAAGAAGCTAGTCAATGTTGTCGATGGTGGTCTCTCAGCTCGTTGTGCCGCATTAGCCTCAGTGAAGTAAACTCTTTGGCCATTTTCCAAATGCACTGCTAAATGTACAACTGTGGGATATCTTTCATGAATTTGAAATGACAATAATCGCCACAGTGCTTCATTAGTACTGACGTATCTGCCCATTTGGAAGTTGCTGATTTCGTCATTCACATTTTCCGACGCAATACCAAACACAGCCATGTCGCTGCCTTTTGTGACGTACTTGCACAAATATTTGATTGATTTGGCCGAATGACAACTCTCAACGTTTGCATGTGTTTCGAAAATTCGTGATAGCAGCGGACAATATGGTACAATGAATTCATTTCCGATCTCAATCTCTTGATTTTGAACTTTAACTTTGATAGTTCGACCGTTATCTTCTTTTGAACGCCGACGATAAACTGGATATCCATCGTTCCCTGTGACTGTTTCAGCAACTAACGGTCGCGGATATCGTTTTGTGCATTTTCCATCAGCCATGCAAGGCGATAATGGATTTAATGCACCGCACGGTCCATGCACCATCTGTGTCGTCACAATGTCGTGTAGACGGGGATCAGTGACTGGATCAGGAATTTCAGCTGATATGATGTCATCCACTTCATTTGAATGTAATTTGTTCAGCAACCAAATTAGGATATGAGCATGCGGTAGTCCACGCTTCTGCCATTCCACCGAGTACATATAACAACGTGTGTCACCAAAAACTCGATACTTAGTAAGCACATCCATCATAACCTTGAGTTTTTGCTGAAATACTCTGGCGATTATGTCATGGCGATCTTGCGGTTTTTTGACCCGGTTCCAACTCGCGTTCAATTTCCGTCCACTTCGGATTGCATGTGACCGTAATAAATAAATCCGGAGTTCCATAATTTCGCACGTACGTCATAGCGTCTTGAGCGTATTCGTGCATGTGGCGTGGGCTTCCGATATAAGTTGATGGGAGAATCGTCAGTCGTCCAATATTCTGAACATCACCATCTGAATGAATAGCATCACGCAAGTGTATATAGTCCTCAGATCGTAGCTTTGGCTGATTGAATCTGATGAACGCTAAACGTTCGGTCTCGACTTTGACATACATGTCGACAGCGAATTGCTGGAATAGCCGACCGCACTTCAGAATGACATTCTCCTCATGTGTACGAATCATCATACGATACGCATAGTAATTCATTGCGCTTAGATTTTTATTATTCGTTGATACTCCTGAAAATGCAAAATTAAATGAATTGTTAATGGAAACCAATAAAAGTAATAATGGAAATAATTAGTGTGTGAATATTGTACCTGTAATTGGATCGACCATCTTCAACGTGATGTCGTATCCGTCTTGCCCTTGCCAATAAATGATTGGATATTGTAACGCATCGTACAAACGATGTGTCTCGTTTACACGATGCATGATATTGCTTCTTCGCTGAACGACAATGTCTCGTGATTTAGTTGGATCGCCAACAATAATTGCAGCAACATCATTAACGGTGGGTGCATTGAATCTTCGCACATGTTCACCTGTTGGAGTACAATCCGCTCTTATGACAAATTTGTGCGTATCCGATGGCATTCGTTCCAATGCTGTTTTGAACATATTAACCACAGCATTATTAGCGTGAAAAAATGCTTGCAACTGTTCAATAATTCGTCTCTTTAACTGTTGTGCTCCCTGTATATTGCACCGCACGTTCAGCTGATCTGGTGTTGGCACCATTGAACCATGCAAATGATATATTTGACCTTGTATCTGTAATTGCAAATAATCATTAAAATTTGTTCATGAATACATTGTAAATCGTGTGATGGTGTAGTGTGTGGTGTATATGAAGTTGTTATGTGTTGCAATTATGTGTTGGTTATGTGTGTTGTATCTTTTACCTTGCAAGTCGGCATGAAGCCGCCTTCTCGAATGATATTAGCTCCAAAGGAAGTCATGCGAAAGCAGTTATTGTATTCAAGGATGTGTTGAAGAAAATGGCTGGAATCGGGATCACTTCCATCAAACAATGTTTTCAGTGGCTGTGGTGGTGTAAGTAATGGATCCAGTTTGACTTTTCTACTTGCGCAGCACAATCCAACCGTTTCTCTTTTGAACTTTACCGCATTGCAATATCGGCATATAGTCGTCATTCGTCCAATATCCAAATTTTCATCATCACTGTAGTTCGCAGTGGGATCATATTGGAATGCCAAGCGATTGTATGATGCCAATGATCTTCGTGTGCTCACGCGATGTCTCAATCGGTCATTTTCTCTTATTATATTTTTTCTTTCTTCTCTTAAGTTCCTTGAATAGACTTGTTGCTAGCTTGCATGTCTTGTGCGGCGGCCGATGTTCGCACGTCGTTCTCTAGGCATTTTGGACTATGGACAGAGTGTTGAATTTAACTTCAAATGCACGATCCACATAATTTACACTGAGCTTAAATGAAATTAACTGAGCAGAGAATAATGACTATCTATCACACACTTTATCACGCACCGTTGCTATTGGTTTGAAGTACATGCTATGTATAATAGATGGCGCTGTATGTGAAAAACGATTTCCCCACTTTTCTGTTGAATTTTTCCTGAATTTTCCAGAATTTTCTTTGCTATAAACCTCACGGAGCCCAAGACCTTTCCAACGAATGCAAAACCGTGGAAATCGGTTCGTGCGTTCTGGAGTTATAGCGTCAGGGAGGAAAACCGGACTTATTTTTATATAATAAGAGAAGATACACACATGAACCAGCATGGTTATGCAGCTTCGTTATCCGCATCTCGAATATTTCGCGTATAAAACAACAAACTTCAAACCGCCCTACTCGAACAATAGTACACGCATTCCAACGCTGCTCTTGACAATCGGCATATTATTTTAAAAAATATATAATTAAAGGCACAAAAGAAAAAAAAATGAACAATACTATTTATTTTTTGCCATATTTCTATCACCAAACAACGTGTGAAAACGTGTAATATCCTATGATAAGGCACGTTTTGTTACGGTGAATAATTTGTAACGCATTAATCACTTGTCCAAATTAATAAGTGATCGAATCGTAGTAAATATATGTATTCACAAATAAACTCCAGCCCAAGTCTTGACACTCATTAAATACCATCACTCCAATCCCCGTTTTAAAACTTATATGACGTGCTATACATGTCAAACATATTAAACCGTTTATCCAGAGCCACAGACTGTTCGAATGTAATTTTCAAAGGTGTATCGCGCGTTTAAAACACAGATCAATGGTAAATTGGCCTATAATGATTTGCCAAGAAGATATTAGCAAAACAGAACGTTATTTTTATGCGTATGATCGGGAAAAAATCGAGCATACATAAGCTGCTGGTGAAATTTAAAGTAGGCCTATTTGTTGCGCCTGCACTTTTCCAATCACAATAATGCCTCAAACCGCCACTGTTCCGTCCGTGATAAATACATTTCTATGCGTAACCGGTCGTTTGCGGTTATTTGCGTTTCGCATATGTGGTTTGTGAAACATGACGTTTATTGTGACGTGACACTGAAGATCACGCATTACCTGAAACGCACGAGATTAAACTCTCAGCACGAACGATAACTGTACTAATTCAACCTGCAGCAGTATGTTTTGAAACGGTATTAAAAATCAATAAGCAACCTTTGTATGTAAGGCCTTATAAACGTGACTATAAAACTATAATATGTCTATATATACGTTATACGAATATAAAAATGTATATTAATTCTAAATAATATTATGTATACAATTCTTACTAAAAACGATCTATATATACTATCACTAAATACTTGATTATATAACCATAAAATAAACTTGGTATAAATTCCGTATTTTAAGATCAAAAAAAAAGTAATATATGTAATACATATGCAATGTATATATAGTTCAATTTATCATAATATTTTTTTTGGACAAACGGTCCAGCAACGAAAACAATGTTAAATGAATTGTCGAAATTCGACTAAACATTTTGGCGTATTTGGACAGGTTCACTGTGATACAATATTGTAAAAAAGTATTAATATATCGCATTGCACAAAAATGTTCCTGCTGGAAAAAATTGTCATAAGAAAAAAAATGTTGGAACAAAATAATTATTTGATCGATATAATACAAATATATATTAGAAATCGTGACTTTATATAATTTAAAAACTAAGCTAAAAACTACATGAATATAAAATGCTCATTATTTAAGCGTGGAAAAATTTATCAGCTACATAACAAGCTCTTACTCAGCTTACAGATCAGAGCAAGTGAGTCATTCAGGAACCTTTGTAGAGGAATTATAAAAATTGAAAAGAAAAACTGTGATTTCAGATAACTCTACTTTACCCGGATTTTTATTTTCATATAAAATTCGTTTCTAATCGATCATTTGGAAGAGTAAGTTAAAAGTAAGTTATCGTTTTAAATCCTAAAAGTGATTAATCATCACAATTTTAAAACGATTCCGTGTGGGCGCACACCGATGGTTTTGGCCACAAATTCTCATGTTTTTGCTTTCATGAACATTTCTCTCATGGAATACACAAGTAATACCAACAATAAATTATCTTTACTTAATATGAGTAAAATTCGTTTATAATTGTTCGTCCTCTTCAAATCTACTATTTACATTATACTCAATTCGTGATTTTCATAGCCATCATTTTCAACTGATCTCCAAAAAACCGTTCACGTATTATTTTTTTACGTTGTATATTATTTTGGATGAATCGTATGATCAGATGATCGAGTAGCTCCATGCAACGGTAATATGACGTGACACTGTGAGCCTATGAAGAGCATATGAGAAGGAACGCGATAGGCATAGATGGCTTTGACCGATAAAAACGAAACGTGTTCTACGGATACGTCCTGCAAACGGTGTCCAGGTAAAACGTTAAAAAACTTAGTAATTAAACATGAATCACAGTAAACAATGATATATTTTAATAAATTCAAAATTCAAAATTGAACCGTGGAAACCTCTATACAAGGAGATTTTTGCATGTTTTCCGCGTGTGTAAAATTCCCGCTCCAAATATATAAAATAAAATACCGCACTAACTACATTATTATTTAATTTATTTAATATTTACTACAAAATATATATAAATTAGGTAAGTATACAGAACAGATTTTATTTTAATATGAAAACACAATTTTTTAAAATTTACAGTTTTTTTACCAATAATTAATAAGAAAATACATTGTTAAAATATACCGCTGCCTCCATAATAATTAATCGCATCCAAAGTATAACTTGTACCTCAGAATGTTGCAATAACCAAATAAAAAGTTTAATTAATCGAAACTAAACTGTAAAAACATTTGCGTTTAACCGTGCGTGGGTTATTTAGGGCAAAAAATATAAATCGATTGTTTTCGTTTTCAACTCGTGGATGATGCAACAGCCGAGCGGCTTTGGTTCGGCTTTTTCATTGCGATGTCATCGTGTGCTGACGGCGTTTCGACGTATAAAAACGATTTCGTAGCAACGGAATAACGTGTTATCGATGTGCATAATTTTCGGACGTTTTAATTGGCTCGGCCGTGATTTATACGGAATTTTAAATAATTGCAAACGCTTGCTTTCGCCCGTCTGAATTTCGTCCCGGAAAGAACCATTTGGACCGACAATAAAATACGAAAGCGCATCAATGAATTCCAATCCACTGCCAGTCGCCCTTCCTGCGAAATACTCAATTGATTATAAATGATCGTCCGGTCTCGATACGGTCGATTGGTCAGGTCGCCGCCGAGACGGGATGTCCTCTTGTCGGTGAAATACGATATTGAGTTCAATTCGTTCTTTCTGGACGACTGAGCGTTGTGTCGGCACTACAGAAAACACGATTATACGACTGCCAAGAATCGTTGCGCACGAGAATAAACTCTGTGTCACCTGATTTATTGATAAAATATGGATCTTTTATTTAATTTTTTCTAATTTAATGAGCCTTTGTCAATAACGCTTTACGGCTCGACAATTATATAAAATATATCATATAATAAATTATTTACTAACTCGATAATATTTTATTAAAAATTATCATAAAAAATACGTATAATTTGACAATTATTGTCAAATTTTGCGTGTTATTCTATTATTGAATTAATATCGTTTTGAAAGACGAGCAACTGTTTTTTTAAGCGAGCTCATAGGTTTTCGTACAAATCACTATACTATTCGTAACTGTATATTCAAGATTATGACTTCCTTAGATATGAAAAGATTTCATCTATCCCCCCTTTGGAGTGCAGGTGGCAGGCTAAGTTCCTTTTACCAATTCGGAAATACGTATAAAAATAAATCTCAATTTTTTCTATATCATTCTCTATCGCACGTTTAGTAGTATTTCCCTAACTTCCCTACACGGAATGGTATATGACCATGAAGATAACTTCTTTAAAAGCATATTACACGTTTTAATACAAACCATATTAGTTTTTACTTAACGATTATTTAGCACACTCTACCAAACCCCGAAAAAAATACCATAGATAAAGCCCCGTGCTCAATCGTCTGCTATCCGATTTTTTTACGACGGGTGCTCATGTAGGTCCGTGAAGTTGAAGGAGCATGCGGTGACACTCACATGAGAAGTTCGGTGAAAAATAAATGCTGGTTCAACTGCGTTTATTTCAGACTTAATTTTCCAAGCGAGAGAGGAATATCAAAAATGTATATAAGCAGCAGTTAGTATGGTATACGAATGCAAAATGTGGGCCACGGGGATACTTATTTATCTCCGGATGTTCAATACTTCTCCTAAGAAAAACCCCTTAAAATAATCAGAGGATCAAGCGTAACTTAACCGCTACGTGCATGGATATAATTTAATACGCTTACATCAGAGTTCGGGACACGATAATATAATAAAGTCTTTATTACATTCATTCGAATGGTATATTATATACAGTGGAACCTCGATAAGTCGAACCTCGATAAGTCGAAAACCTTGATAAGTCGAAAAAATTCCGTCCCCTTGCGAAAACCTCGATTATTCGAAAAAAAAACTATAGATAACTCGAACATTCTGTGCTCCGAATATGACGGATAATGACAGATAATTTTATAAACATTTGTCTAATCGGCAAACGTTTGACGATTTTGTTAAAATCGACCATGACGTTGCCGTTTCTGGTATTCTGGCAGACGACGATATAACTGACTCCGTCCGTGGCACTGAAGATGTTGATGACATCGAAGAAGCATCATCTGAGCCTGTGCATCGTGTTTCAATGAAGCAAGCAACAGCAGCCCTCATATTGCTAAGGACATTCACCGAACAATTGAGTAATGTGGACGATAAAGTGT